GGGGGGGACACCACTGGAGACAGCCCTCCATGATGAGGCCATCCCATTGATGACAACTCTCTGGGAGCGGCCTCTAAGCCAGTTGTCCACCCACCTCACTGTAGGCTGGTCCAGCCTAGCACCCTCTGGTCTGGTTGAGAGAATTCCATGGGAAACAGAATCAAAGGTTTTACTGAAGGCTAAGTAAATGACGTCAACCTCATGTCCCTCATCCAGACAGTTAGTTGCCTGGTTGTAAAAGGACACCCGGTTTGTCAGGCATGATCTACCCTCAACAAAGCCATGCAGATTGCATCTTAATACCCCATCAGTTGCCAGCTTGTAATTGATGACCTCCTTAACAAATTTTTCAAAAGCTTTTTCCCAGGACCAAAGTCAGACTGACCAATTTGTAGTTTACAGTGTCGTCCCTCTTCCCTTTCTTGAATATAGGCACCACATTGGCCCTCTTCCAGTCATCCGGGACAACTCCTGAGTTCCACATCTCTTCAAAAAGCTTTGCTAGTGGCACTGCTATAAGCTCAGCCAGTTCTATCAGGGCTCTCGGATGCAGGTCATCTGGCCCAGCAGACTTGAAGACGTCCAGGCATTCTAAGAGATCCCTCGCTTGTTTAGGAATGATTTCATGTAATCTGTTGTCTTCCCCATATTCCTTGGGCCTGATCTTTTTAAGAATAGGGTCTCTTTCCAATATACGTTGCAATTTTTTGAGGATTTTCCGTACAGGTTCAAGGGATGGGTGATGCGTCATAACCAGCGGTGTGCGATTTGTGGGTGTTTTTCTTCTGTACTGCAGCAGTTCTTCACGTGGTATTCAGGTGGCTCTTTCAAACGTGCGATCTACCTCTCTGGAGGAGTGTCCTTGCTGGGTGAAAGCCTTTTTAAGATTGGTGAGGTGGCAATCCCGGGTATTCTCTTCAGTACAGATGCAGTGGTATCTGAGGGCTTGGCTGTATATCACAGCTTTTTTGGTGTGTTTCGGGTGATTGCTGGTTCTGTGCAGATATGTATGTTGGTCTGTGGGTTTCTTGTATACTGTGGTCTGTATTTTACCCTTCTGGATACTGATCATCGTGTCTAAAAAGGGGATGTTGGTGCTGGAGTATTCTAAAGAAAGTCGGATGGAGGGATGGTGACTGTTGAATTTCTGGTGGAACTCAAGCAGAGATACCAGGTTCTCACTCCAAATGATGAAGATGTCATCGATATATCGTAAGTACAGCAAGGGTTTGATGGTGCAGTTCTTGAGGAAGTCTTCTTCCAGGTGGCTTATAAAAAGGTTGGCATACTGTGGGGCCATTTTAGTGCCCGTAGCTGTTCCCATCATCTGGAGCAAGTGTTGATTATTATAAGTGAAATTGTTGTGTGTGAGGATGAAGTGTATAAGCTCAGTGATATCTTTGGGTCTGTATTCTGGGTTGTAATCTTGTTCCTGTAGATATGTAAGGCAGGC